GTTCAGCCACAAAGTTGTATTTTACTTAATAAGGACAATGACTTAATATCTATCAAATTCCCTTTATTATTTCTACCTTTAACTAAGATTGTACTTACAGGATGTACCTATATGTTGGCTCTGATATGTTAGCTTTTCCTATGAATTTTATATCTCATAAGACTATATCTGAAATGCAAAAATCTCCAAGGGGTAGGGAGGGTGTTAAAGGCATATTGTACGGCTGTCTTGTGTTTTATATCTTCATCTATTTAAAAATTATCCTTTGTTTATGAATATAAAGCAATTCATGCTGATTGAGATGAGGCCTTATCAATGTCGTTTGCCTAAGGGGTTAGTTGTGGGGTTCTGCCAGGGTCTCCACTAACACAGGTGAGCACCTCCTGAGACTTGAGTAGCACAGTTGGTGATAGAGATTCTGGTCCTTCCTGTATACAGTGTAGAAAGAAAAGACTGCTCCAACAGAAGTCTCTTACATGGAGAGAGAGGTGTTAATTTAAAGACAAATGAAATCTCTTCAAATGTATTTATGAACAAAATCTGGTACCGTTAATGGGCAGGTAGAGTAAATATCTATTGGAGATTTCACTTGTATTCCAACCCGTGGTCAAATCATAGGGAAGACATTTCGCTTCCAGCATTTTAACAGTCTGTCTGATTGTTGGGCTCCATTCTCCACTAACTGTTTCCTTTAATGAACTCTACATACAGAATTCCCTCCTGGATGGCCCCTGAGTCATGTGCTGTCTTTTCCAAAGCAGTAAACTGTTTCTCTCCTCAGATTTGTGGTCAGTCATTGTCTTAATCCTTTTGGGCTGCTATAAGAGGATAACATAGACTGGGTGGTTTATGAACAATAGAAATTTATTTATCGTTCTGAAGGCTGGGAAGTCCAAGATGAATAGCACTGGCAAATTCGACCCACTGGTAAGAGCACACTTGCTAGTTTTTAAGTGGCCAGTCTTCTTGCTGTGTCTTCACATAACAAAAGGAGAGAGGGAACTCTCCAGGGTCTCTTTTATATGAGCACTGATCACATTCATCAGGGCGCTAATCTCCTCCCAAAGGCCCCATGTCCAAATACCATCACAGTGGGGATGGAGTTTCAACATAAGAATTATGGGGGTGAAAGGACATGAACTTTCAGTCTACAGCAGTTAATTTGTGAGACAGCCTGACTAATCCTCATGCCTCTTTCATCCTTAACACTTTCCAGGTTTGAGTTTCTCAGGCAAATACTTAAATAAGGAAATAATGGGTTTTAGGTATGGCCGTTCTACTAATTAACTACTGTATCAATGTGTTGAGTTTTTCTTCAAAAATAATATGATTATTTCTAAATTTATTGAGTTTTCTCAACCTTTGAACTCTGAACAGGAATAATGTAAGTTAATCTACATGAGAAAAAATTCACTCTTGGTAATCCATTCAGTTTAAAACCACTGTGAGAAGCTGGATGGGCAAGAATATTCTCCTGACAGATTATATCATAATACTGAATGGCATAAAATTGTAGCCTTCCTTGATTCCAGCTCTCTCTTTCTCTTAAATGCTTACATCTTTGGATGATTTCGGTGCATTTCTTTCTGATATAGAGAACATGCAGAAAAAAATGTTAGGATACTGGTTTGTTTTAACAAATTAAAAGTAAAAATTATTGATATTAAACTAACATCAGAAAGAATGACATTATAAATACTATAAAATTAAGTTTATTACTTTGATATGTGTTCAGGTAGCTGCATAAAAAGATAAATGGATTTTGTCATTGAGAGTTACATTTTAAAATTTATTCAGTCTGTCGAGCAACATAGTTTAAAAGTTGATGTGCATTGAATTACATATGAAATTTATGTCCTTAAGCTTTAATTGAGGATCTCTAAATTAAAAAAATATATTTTTTTCTAGAGCGATATTGACTCTTTTATCTATCGCATTTCAAGGTTTTATTCTTTATTCATGCATCGTTATGAAAAATAATTTTAGATATGAATTCTAGGAAAAGCTTTGTTTTCTCTAAGAAACTGAGAATTTTTTTTTTTTTAATTTGTGAAAAGAACATGAAAACCATTTGCCATATATCTGGAATTATTTTCTTTATTCTTTTTAATGGTTGGAAAATTTTTAGCCCTAATTTTTACTATGTAGATTCTTGTGATATATTTGTATATATCATATTTAAAATGATATATTTATATATCACATGTATGATATATTTATACATCATTAGATATTTAATATTTTCTATTTTGCTTTTCTGTCTAATTTGTATTTTTCTTTATCGATTTAAGAAAATATACATTTTATGTACATTTTACTGTTTTACTGTATGTACTTTTTGGAGACTTAAAATATGTTAATTAAGATATGGTATAAATAATAGCAATATAACCTAGTGCAAATTTATTTGATAAATATCTATTGAACCACTCTATAAGCATAGCACAGTTTTAGGGGCAAAATACCTGTTGTAGATTAATTCTTGTTTCCAACACCTTACAATTTAGTAAGGGAAATGGATAAGAAAAAGATAAGTAACTATACAATATGAATCAATATGAAAATTAATGTGCAGGTAGTAAGTTGCACAGGTGATCAGAAGAAGGGTAGATTAGTGAAATCTCTAAGATTATTTGCAAAATATAAAATTGGATTTAGCTTTCCCTTCCAGCCAATAGCAATAAGTAGTAAACACTTAAAATCTCTTAACTTTAACCTTGTTTACATGGTTTATTGCATGTGGTTTTTAGTTTCAAATGCTGCAAATAACTTTTTGATTTGGTTAAATAATAAAAATGATATTAGAATTTTAAAGCATATATCAAATATTGTTTCATAATTGTTAGTCATTTACAAATCAATGTCATGGTTTCAGTATTTATTAAATACTGATTTTAAAATCGACTTATTTTTTACTCAAATAAAAAATTTTAAAAAATACTTTATTACACTACTATTGAGGGAAACAGTATAATTGTAAAAAGAAGACTATAGCTGTTAAAATATAAAAGAAAATAAAAAGACTGAAAATAAAAAAAAACTATGAAATATAAGTAACACTGAATCTAATTAATTGTAAAAAAATTCCCTGAAAATATCACTTAGTTTTTTATGTTTAGTTTATAATGAAGGAATATTCAGCTCGATTAGTTTGAGATGAAGACGGATTTTGAAGCAAAATATGATTTGTGTTTAAGTTTTGAAGGAATTCTAACACAATGGCACAGATAATTGGAAAGAACTGAAGATATTTAACTGCCTTGTCTTATTATATCTAATACTAAGAATTATTTACAAAAGAAAATAATGTGAATGACATTAAAAATAAGTTTTTGTTTAATAAAATCATTTGATATAACTTTTATCTGTTTAATTTCTAAACAGGTCAAATTTTGGAATATGTAATGGCAAATATTTCCTTATTCATGACTTACTGTCATCTGGTTTGGAAAATAGTAATACGGACCATATATAATATCTCTCGAATGCTTCTGCATAATGTTCACAACATATTTAGTGAATTATTCAAATGAGATTATTAACGAGCCATTTAGACACCAAAGATCTAAGCCGGCTCAATAAACTGGTGTACTCTAGCTTAGTTTCTCAATTATTCCATTTACTTGTTCTTAGCAGAATGCTGATGGAAGTCTCTCTTGTGAGAATAACCGTAAGTTATTTAAATGGGCAAACGTATCTGTATTACATGTACATTAGCAATCTAGTGACAGTTACACAAAGCCGATAGTTTTCTTACAATTCAAAAAGATGCATAAAAGCCAATGAACCTCAGTATGAAATAGTAGTTAGTATTGACTGTTCTCTTCATAAAGCTGAGCAACAAGTTGAGAACATAGTGCTCCATCCTTAACATAAGTGACAATTTTAGTAGATTCGTTTAATTTAGCCTGTGCAGCCTATTTGAATTTGAATGCTGGCTCTATTCTATCTTATTAACAGGATAAATCTTGGCAAGTTAACATTTCTGTGCCTAAGTTATCTCATCTGTAAAATAGTGGTAATAATAGTTTCTAGCCCAAAAAGTTGTTGGGAGAATTAAATATGTTAGTAAACATCAGCTCTTAGAAGAGTATATGGCATACAATGAGTGTCATGTCAGTGTTTTTGTTTTTTATTCTTAAAATGCCAAATGTTATGGACTAAGATGTGCCTGCACATCTTGGTAATTATAATTCTACGCAAAGTAAGTGAAACTTTATACTGAAGCTGGTCTTAAAATCTTTTGTATGATTGTAGTGAGCTAAGGTTGAGCTATTCTATTAAGATATCATAAAAAGAAAAAAATGTTTGGTGGAATGGTCATACAGTTGGAGCAAATTCAGTGACTGAGAAAAATGGAAATGCCAAACAGTAAAATTATAATGAAATTATGATAGAAGAAAATGAAACTGTTAAACAATTTGGTAGCTTTTCTATGGCAATGTCAGAAGGTGGCGACAGTGTGCTTCTAATAGGTGATGTCAGAAACTAAAAATTAACGTTCGATGGATTATGCAGATGTGATGCTCTCCTCTGGAGAATTTCTAGAGATGAAAAAATGTGCAGTCCAGTAAAAATCTGAGATACATAACTCTTTTATTATACATGTATTAAACACATGAGTATACAACTTATATTTGTAATTACATAATCATAAATTATTTCTAAAAAGTGCTTAATAATAAAAAGATGTATTTGAAATTAATTAACATAAGTTTTAAAAAATTTCCAGCCCTCAATTTTTCTAAATGTCTTTTAAGTTCTAGATTAATCCATCTGATTTGTATACATACAATATATTGAGTATATTGACTTGAAAATTTTAGACAATGCTTGATACATAAAGATAGAATTATTGGCTAAATGTGAAAAGTTTATTTAACTCAGATTTTAGTTTTCTGGATTGAATTTTAACTCACCGAAATCATTAAAATATGGAGTGAGCAAAGTGAAAAGTATCTAAAATTAAAGCATTGACAGCAAATCTAAAAAATGGGTAGATACACATCTGGCAGGGGAGATACCATGACCATGAAGATGATTTTCCCAAGGTGAGGTTCACCCACTGCTCTTCAGGTGTGCTGACGACCCCTGCAATTTCTGCAAAGATAAGGTACATGCAGAAGAAAAAAGACTGCTGAATATATATCAGTTTCTTTTACATATACTTACTGATAACCACACACACACACACACACACACACACACACACACACACACACACAGAACTGAGACATTAACATAAAAAAAGAGGGAACAGAGCAAAAAAAAATCATAGAATACCACCAAACTAAAATAACAGACAGAAACACAAGGATGAAGAAACAATGGAGACATTGTTCTATCAGAAAACATAATATAAAATGACTATAGGAAAACCTCAATAATCACTCTAAATGTAAATGGACTGAACTCACCAATAAAAAGGCACAGAGTAGAAGTTTGGATCAAAAAACGAAACTCAATCATATTCTGCCTTTGAGAGACACATTTCAGCTGCAAGGACAAATATAGTCTCAAATTAAAAGGGTAGAAAATGATACTCCAAGGAAATGGCATCCAGAGAAAAGTGGATGTGGCCATATTTATTTGATGAAATAGACTTCAAAGTAAAAAAGATAATGAAAGACAAAGATGAACATTTCATAATGATGAAGGAATCCATACATCAAGAAGATATAATGCTTATCAATATATATGCTCCCAATCAGGGACACCAAAATATATAAAGCAACTACTAACAGAATTAAAGAAAGAAACCTACAAAAACACAGTAATAGTAGGGGACATAAGCAACCCACTGTCAGTTATGGATAGATATCCAAGCAAAAATCAATAAGGAAATATCAGCCCTAAATGATACATTAGACTAAATGGACATAATAGACATTTACAGAGCCTTCCATCCCCAAACACCAAATTATACATTCTCTTGTGCACATGGAACATTCTCAAGGATAGAAAACTAGCCTCAACAAGTTTAAAAAGATTGAATTCATACCAAGCATATTTTTCAACCAAAATGCATTGAAATTACAGATAACTATAAAAAGAAAGCAAGAAAAACCACGAATATGTGGAGATTAAACAACATGCTACTAAGTAACAACTTGGTCGAAAATAAAAGGAGAGATCAAGAGATATATAGGAACAAATGAAAAAAATACAACATATCAAAACTTTGAGGACACAGAAAAACAGTAATAAGAAGAAAGTTCATATCATTACAAACCTTTCTCAATCAATAAGAAAAATCCCACACAAGCAACCTAACATTATGTCTTAAAGAACTAAAAGAAAAAAAGAAGCCAAAAGTCAGCAGAAGGAAGGAAATAATAAAAATTAGAAGATGGTTAAGTGAAATTGAGAACAAAGAGACAATACAAAAAAAATTAACGCAACAAAGTTTTTGTTCTTTGAAAAGATTAATAAAACTGACAACTCCCTGGCTAGACGCACTAGGAATAAAACAGAAAAGACATAAATAAACAAAATCAGAAGTGAAAGACGAGAAGTTATGACAGATACCTCTGACATACAAAGAATCATACAAGAATACTCTGAAAGATTACATGCCACCAAATTTGATAACCTAGAAGAAATGGACAAATTCTCAGAAATGTACATCCTTTCTAGACTGAATCATACAGAATTAGAAAAGCTAAATAGACTTATCACTAGTAAGGAAATTGAAATACTAATCAACAATTTCCTACAAAAACAAAGTCCAGGACCAGACGGTTTCATTGGTGAATTCCACCAAACATTGAAAGAAAATTTAATACCAGTCCTTCTCAACCTCTTAAAAAAAAAAAATTAAGA